GTATATTTTATATTTATTACGACGAAACAGACATCTAAACTTTTAGGGAGCAAGACTCTTTCACTTCCCATTTTTAAATACATGCCATTTCGGCCCGACAATATAGAGGCCCGGACTTGTTACTCAGAATCTGACTTCCACGAGTACGGAGTGACAGGCAAGCTCACAATTCTTCGTAGCAGTGTGGCACTACCGTGTAATTTTAACAGGCACTTCCCATCCAGTATGTTCACTAGTAATGATCCTGAATCTTATAAAAATTTAAAAATGATTATATCTTAACCTGGAAACCAAAACGAACGACGAAGTTTAGATCGGCTTTTCCATAAAATGGAGTTGCAACATGGCATTGCTGACTGCACACAGTAATGTTTCCAGTTTTCGTAAATTTCGAGGAACTTGTGAAGAATCAGTCGAAAGCGTGGACCGATTTTAAGTCCGATCGTGACTAGGCGTAATCTAAAACTAGAAAATGGAGTTTCCAAGCACAAAATGTGTTATTCTCGTCTACTGACATCCGTTATTGCACATCTGTACGAATGACTGACATAGGAACGTCTGCAAACACGGAAATACAGTGTATAGATTTGCGTAAAACCACGTTAAGATAAACGGATCGCTCACTGTGTATAGCGATACGTTTTCCATCTGCCGCTTATGAGTTGAAGACCGGTTCATGCAGATGATCTTCATTATTTGCGGGAAGGAGGCTTACTTCTGTGCCAGTGTTGATGAGATCACGAAATTTCACTATCTTAGTGATTAGTCAAGCAGCAATCCAGGATCTTTCAAACTTAGTTTATTCTTGTATAGACATTTTATACTAGGTTTTTGGCCCATCACATATATACAAGACATTAGGTTTGATGCACATGATCCATTGGAACTAGGGATTCACGTTATCCATAATCACTTGACGAATTCCTCTCTTGTTACGTTTGGACTGTAGTTCTGTCGTTTGTTTGTCGCTTTTTCAACATTGCTATCTTAATTTGTCCCTACTTACTTACTTACGCCTGTTACTCCCAATGGAGCATAGGCCGCCGACCAGCATTCTCCAACCCACTCTGTCCTGGGCTTTCTTTTCTAGTTCCATCCAATTCTTGTTCATTTTTCTCATATCTATCTCCATTTCCCGGCGTAATGTATTCTTTGGTCTTCCTCTCCTCCTTCGACCTTGAGGATTCCATATGAGGGCTTGTCTTGTGACGCAGTTGGGTGTTTTCCTCAATGTGTGTCCTATCCACTTCCAGCGCTTCTTCCTGATTTCTTCCTCCACTGGGATCTGATTTGTTCTCTCCCACAGTAGGTTGTTGCTTATAGTGTCCGGCCAGCGGATCTGAAGTATTTTGCGTAGACAACTGTTAATAAACACCTGTATCTTTTGAACGATGGATTTCGTAGTTTTCCAGGTTTCCGCGCCATGCAGTAGAACTGTCTTGACATTTGTATTGAAAATTCTGACTTTGGTGTTGGTTGCTAATTGTTTTGAGTTCCAGATATTCTTCAGTTGTAGATATGCTGCTCTTGCTTTGCCAATCCGTGCCTTCACATCTGCATCAGATCCACCGTGTTCATCGATGATACTGCCCAAATATGTAAAGGTTTTTACATCTTCCAAAGCTTCTCCGTCAATTGTGATTGGATTGGTACATGTTGTGTTGTATCGAAGAATCTTGCTTTTCCCTTTGTGTATATTGAGACCTATTGCTGCTGAGGCTGCAGCTACACTGGTTGTCTTCTCCTGCATTTGTTGTTGTGTATGCGATAGAAGAGCCAGATCATCTGCAAAGTCTAGATCATCCAATTGCATCCTAGCTATCCACTGTATCCCGTGCTTCCCTTCAGATGTTGATGTCTTCATGATCCAGTCGATCACCAGGAGAAAGAGAAAGGGTGAGAGTAAGCAACCTTGCCTGACACCGGTCTTTACTTCGAACGACTTTGTCAACTGTCCTCCATGAACGATTTTGCAGTTTAATCCATCATAGGAATTCTGTATGATATTGACTATCTTCTGAGGCACGCCGTAGTGTCGAAGAAGCTTCCATAGTGTTGTTCTGTCCACGCTATCAAATGCTTTTTCGTAGTCGATGAAGTTGATATAGAGTGATGAATTCCATTCAATTGATTGTTCCACAATGATCCGTAGAGTTGCGATTTGGTCTGTGCACGATCTATCCTTACGGAATCCTGCCTGTTGGTCTCGAAGTTGGGCGTCTACGGAGTCCTTCATCCTGTTTAACAATACCCTGTTGAAGACTTTTCCTGGTATTGAAAGAAGAGTGATTCCCCTGTAGCTGTCACAGTTGCTGAGATCGCCTTTCTTTGGTATTTTGACTAGAAGTTCTTCTTTCCAGTCTTTTGGTACCTGTTCCTCATCCCAGATCTTTCTGAAGAGAATGTGGAGTATCCTTGCAGTTGCCGCTACGTCTGCTTTCAGTGCCTCTGCTGGAATGCTGTCTAGTCCTGCTGCTTTGCCACTCTTGATTTGTCTGATAGCCATGCTGATCTCTTCAATTGTTGGTGCGCCAACATCAATTGGGAGGTCCGTGAGTGCTGCTTCGATGTTGGGTGGGTTAAGTGGGGCTGGTCGATTCAAGAGTTCTTTGAAGTGTTCTACCCATCTGTTTCGTTGTTCTTCAATGTTGGTGATTATCTTGCCTTCCTTGCTTTTCACTGGTCGTTCTGGTTTACGGTGATTTCCAGAGAGTTTCTTTGTTGTTTCATACAGTTGTCTCATGTTTCCTTCTCTGGCAGCCTTTTCCGGCGTCAATGCCAAATCCTCCACATATTTACGTTTGTCAGTTCTGATGCTACTCCATCGTCCTCCTGAACTTTTTGTTGATGCAGATATGGTCGATTTGGTTCTGTGTGGTGTGATCCGGTGAAGTCCATGTGGTTTTGTGTATGCGTTTATGTGGGAATATAGTCCCGCCTATGACCAGTTTATTGAAGGCACATAGAATTGCAAATCTCTTACCATTTTTGTTCCTTTCTCCCAGTCCGTGTCGTCCCATGATCTCTTCATATCCGGTGTTGTCAGTTCCAACCTTGGCATTTAGGTCTCCCATTAGAATAGTCAGGTCTTTTGTTGGGCACTTCTCGACGATTGACTGCAGCCTATCGTAGAATTGGTCTTTAGCGTCTTCGTTGTATTCGTTGGTAGGCGCATAGCATTGGATGACGTTCACTGTAATGCCCGTTTCCTTTGTTTTGAAGGAGGCTTTGATGATCCTTGGTCCATGAGATTCCCATCCTATAAGTGCATTTTGTGCTTGTTTGGACAGCATCAATGCAACTCCTTGTGTATGTGGAGCATTTTCTTGTTCATGTCCGGAGTATAACAGCAGCTCCCCTGAAGCTAGTCGTTGTTGTCCAACTTGCGTCCAATGTGTTTCACTGATCCCAAGCACCTCTAAATTGTATCTCCTCATTTCTGCAGCAATTTGGAAAACTCTCCCAGTCTCCCACATTGTGAGAGCATTCCATGTACCTAAATAAATGGTTGCTCTGGTTGTCAGAAGGGGCATCGGCCTCGTGACTTCCGAAGAAACTCGGCTTTCATCGTGAGGCGTCATAATTCTTCTAAACGAAGACCTTCTGACTCCCAGGGCAGAGTTTAAATGGTTTGAATAATTTTTTCTGGTTAGCGTTTTTTTAGCGAGTTAGTTTTCTACGGGATGGGGTCGCTAACCCCATGCCCAACCCTCCTCCTTTACCCGGGCTTGGGACCGACAGTAGCCCCCGGAAAGGGGCTCCAGGCGGAGTTAATTAATTTGTCCCTAAGAGTAGTCTAATTCCGGAATTCGCTGCCGGCTAAGCTAGTTCGAGCGACTTCATAGGAGAGAAAACTTGACATTCTAAAAGACTAAGGATTTTATCCTACTATGAGTTGCCGATTACATTTTCCTCTTTTATCGATAATATACTTGGGTTCCTGTGTGGATTTCTCGGTGATCCACTGCTACTAGACACGGGAGCCCGTTAAGCGAAAGCTTCTTCTATTCCATCTAAAACCACTTTAGAAAGGGTCTATCATGTACAACGAACCTCCTTATAGCAGGGGAACTTCGGGTAAAAGCGCTAGATGAAGGAAACTTAATGGATGTTCTCTACATAAACTTCAGTAAGGTTTTTGACAATGTGCTAACTAATAGACTGTTATTGAAGTTAGAAAACCTTGGTATTGCTGGACCTATTTTAAAATGGCTTGAGGGTTTCATTGTAAGTCGCAGAACGAAAGTAAGAATGAATTCTAAGTGCTTCATCTAGAGACCAATACTTAGTGGAGTACCTCAAGGTTCCGTCCTAGGTCCTTTACTTTTTATACTGTATGTAAATGATCTTCCAAGTATAGTACAGTCTCCAATGTCATTATACGCTGACGATGTACAGGTCTAGCGAGTAATAACTGGAGACACAGATTCATGTGCTCTTCAGACAGACTTAAATAATATAGTTAACTGGTCTAAAGAGTGGCTGATGCCTATAAACGCGGCAAAGTGTGTCTACATGCACTTTGGGGACTCATATGTTAATATGTACGGCATAGGGTAAGTGCCAGTATCCGTGGTTCGGTCTCATAATGATCTAGGGGTGACAGGGAGTCATGATCTTAAGACGATGGACCATTGCCGGGAGGTCTCAGCCAAAGGGTTTAGAGCCCTTTTAGCTTTAAAACGGACACACATTAAGTTAGATATCAACATGTTTACCACAGTATATACAACTTTAGTGAGAACTAAGCATGAGAACTGCGTTCAGGCTGCAAGATCCTGTCTAATAGGTGACTCGGCTATCCCAGTAAAAGTACAGAGAACAGCTACCCGTGCAATTCCAGAACTACGGTGTTTACAATACAAAGCAGTAGTGTCCGCACCTTCAAATGACTCTTTCAAGAGAAGACTAGACATTCACAGAAGCATAATAGAAAAGGAATAACATAGGCCATAGGCCTTCTGTCCTTACTGCACAAATCTGAAATCTGAATCTGAACCATTTGAGGATAGTTTTTCAGCGGATATTCAACTACAGAGTTACTCGTTACTCTTCACATAAATTACATCCGCAAGATTTTGGTGAGTGTATGGGATTTTTGGGGAGACAAGGTTTTTTCCACAAAAGACTGGAAATATTATACACTAATATCAGCTACAGGCATTATATTATCTGTTTTTATGTCGTCAGTAATCTGGACACAATATCCCAATCTTCGGATTTCGGAGGGGACCTTTTAACAGTTTTGGAAAAATTTCGTGAAAGGCACTACATAATATTGTAAGTAGATGCGACAAAACCCGGGACATTTGCCTAGTTTTGGGGATTTTCTCCCAAAATTTCGAGTTATTCTGCTAAGTCCTCAAAAGCGTTGGGGAAAATTTGAGTTTTCCCCAATATCAAATTTCACAATTTGTATAAAGTCCCTCCGAATCATAAATCGTATATGATTGCATTCATTTCATTTTGAAAGTCTCAATGAAAATTTTTTGTCACGTGTTTTTTTGCAAATAAATCCAATCTCCCAATTGTGTGAAAAGTATTAGAAGTTGCGGGGTTTTCCTCAAACTCATGAAAATTCGCATTTTCGGGTTTGTTGCATCTCAAAATTTTTTATTGTGGCCTCTCCGAAAATGATAAAATTTGCTCCAAAATCGGGAGATTATAAATATGTTTACTGACTTCACAAAATACACTAACTGACCCCAAAGCACTTTACTTCACATCTATTAACAGTACACCTAAAGAAAATAGGTTCAAAACTAGTTTTAAGCTGTTGATCCATATTTGTCAAAAAGATAGCATGACTATGACTTTTTCAAGGAATGTTACTGCTTCATATAATTGTGTTCATGTTCATGTGTGTCTTGTTTTTGGACCAAAGTACATTACTTATTTGTTCACTCACTAGTTCAAACCAAAAATGTTGGTTGCATCATATAATGTTGAGCCCCAACTATGGTTACAGATAAGCGGTCAAACGAACATCATCTTAAAGATCGCTGCCCTAATTGTCTACATACATTCATTCGTGATTATTATAGTCACTTAAATTACGAATAAAGTGTATTTAACGACATCGTTTTAGACAAGTGGTATGTTTAGCTTTGGACAGTGAGGATAGTCAGAGCTTGGTTACTGAGTTGCATTGTAGTTAAAGTTTATTTAGATACTCATTTGTCAATGGAAACTGTGACTCTCACTATCGTTTGACGACGATATTTACTCCTGTTTATATGAACCAACTTATTTATTGCCCCTTATGTTATCCTAATATTCTTATACACATCCTTTTACTTTTAGGAAAGGCTGATGCGCTTAAATTTGTGTCCATGTTATTTTCGTTTGTTTCGCAGTTCATATGCACAACCCCATAGACTACTTAATGTAAGCTATATTGACTGTAGTAATGTTAAAAGTACTTATTATTTTGTATATAGATTCTTTTCGAACTATATTCATATATTTCGAAACTTTCATAGTTAATTAATGTTTCCGTAAACTCGGTTTTCATCACAAGACATTACTAATAGATTGACCATCAGACATCACAGAAGTTTAAGCATTTTTTCGTACCTGTCATTTCGCACAGATTTTTGTCTATCACACCACTATAGTAAAGCTTATTTTATTATTATTTATTTATTTTAACACATAAATATCGGTACAAGAAGGCACCAAATACATATGCGCCACACAGATCTCATTTGATATGTGTGAGGGCTGTGATACTGCTCGGGTGCCCAAACCGAAGCAGGTGGTTTTCTTAGGGGGACACACCCCGAGCCTTTGACCTGAACGTCTGACCCACAAGGCAGTGGAGCATCGTGAGGAGATGCAGTCCCATGGTAGCCGGTGACCAACGATTGGTTCATACGCCATTTGTTCCCGCAAGATACTGGAGCCCATGTGCACCATTGGTTTGGGATCCGGTTATAGCGCCGGACATTCGCTTTTCGTCCTCTCATTTTTGTAAACAACACCCCCGCCACGAGAAGGCAGTGAGTAGGACTTCCCTGGCAGGGGCTGTATACGCATGGCCATATGAGAGCATTTCGAGAGGGGGAGCGGACTCCCCCCACTCTCGGCCGTACCAGGGCATTTGAGGGCATAGTAAAGCTACATTGTTGGAAATTTGATCGCTTAAAGTGTGATGTCCACTAGTTTGAATATTATTTGTTTATTTATTTGAACATAAATATTGGTACAAAGGGGCACCAGATACATACGCGCCACATACTAGGTTGTATGCAGCAGCATCTTAGTGTGCCGGGAACTTCATGTATGGTGTTGTCTGAGGTAAAAAGCCAACGTGTGCACCAATTGCCCACACCAGCAATTTCGTTTTTTTTAGAGAGTTAGTTTTCTATGGGGTGGGGTCGCTGACCCCATGCCCAACCCTCTTCCTTTATCCGGGCTTAGGACCGGCAGTAGCCTTAGAAATGCTCCAGGCGGAATTGCCCACACCACTTAAAGTTTGTAGGACGAATAAAAGTGACGTCTCCCATATTTTCGGGTATTATCTGTTTGTTATGATGTCTAAATAATCAAGCCATATCCCAACTAATCCCAGATTCTTTAAAACGGGATCATTCAAAGTAAGATTTTGTTAATCACTACAAGGAAAACTCGGTACAATAGTGGACTAAGAAATGTGTCACAAAAATTGATATTGTGTGAATATTTAGTGGAGAAAATATCATATAGTCAGTTTGCATATCTAGAAAAGAAGCAATATAAAGCTTAGTTGAGAGTTTATAAACGATCAATGCAACTTTATAGTCTCCACGCCAAGTTGAATGTCCTTTACAGTTCAGATTTTCAGCGGTTTTGCGCAATTTGGGGAGTATTTCAGGAGTGAATATTTTAAATATAAGCCTATACTCTAGTAATTGTGACGTGTTTTACGTAGTTCATCTTTATGTACAATAGTTCTTACTCTAACGCGATAAAGCATCTCTTAGATTACAAGTCTTTTCAATCAGTCTGTTCACTTTTTTAACCAGAAATTCGCCGCCATTGAGGGGGTCTTGTGGGTTAGCTGACATAATGTTTTAAAAGTAGTCACCAGCCGAAATGTATAAGACAATTTGGTTGAAGTTACCGTGCCAATGTAACAGTTGAGTTGTCCCTCAAAGGGCTCTGTGTCTTTAGTCGAAATCGTTGCCTTGAAATCTGTTTATCATGCTGAAGGAAGAGGAAAACTCTCTCTCCGCTTCAAAAATCCCCTATGCATCCGAAGTAGGTGAGCCAGAACTCAAACTTTTGCCCTACTTGGTAAAGCTGAATGCTTTAATCACTAAACTACCGCCCCACGCTGCTATTGTTAAGTAAGTGTAGATTATCAATGTAATGTCTTAAATTTAAGTTTTGTTAAACTTTAGTACTGGTCACTAAGGCTCGTTAAGATCAATCTTAACTTTAGCTACGTGGTATCATCCTCACAAATTGCGAATTCAAGCTCTTTTCACTCTTCGTTCAATCGAACAATCAAAACGTGGCAGTACTAACGTTGACTGTCTTTGGCTAGACTAACAATGTTCATCCATCACTTTCTAAAACCATATTTTTCTACAACAATTGTGTGTGTCAAGGTTTACTTCGTACTCTAATCATTACTGTATTTTTTCTAATAGACTAAACAAAGTTTACAATTAAATACTGAAAATCCAACCTCTACTTGGGTTTCTATTGGTGGACATTCTACCGTCAAAGATTCTTGGTATAACTTAACTCCCCATATAATTGAACTTACAAAAAGGTCACTGCATAACCAACAACATCATCCTTTAAATTTGATTAAACAACGTATTGTAGACTTCATGTTTAAGGTAAGTATAATGTTCTATGTTGAAAATTGCTACTTATGTTGTCTCTTCCGTAATATATATATATATATATATATATATATATATATATATATATATATATATATATATATATATATATATATATATATATATATATATATATATTGGTACAAGGGGCACCAAATACATATGCGCCACACAAATCTCATTTGATTTGTGTGAGGGCTGTGATACTGCACGGGTGCTCAAACCGAAGCAGGTGGTTTTTTAGGGGGCCACACCTGGAGCCTTCGACCTAAAGGTCTGATCCACAAGGCAGTGGAGCATCGTGAGGAGATGCAGTCCCATGGTAGCCGGTGACCAACGATTGGTTCATATGCCGTTTGTTTCCTCAGGATACTGGAGCTCATATGTACCATAGGTTTGGAATCAGGGTTTTCCAACTCCCTTAGGTGGACTCTGCATGTCCACCAAACCGGTTAAAGCGCCGGACATTCGCCTTTCGTCCTCTCAATTTCGTAAACAACACCCCGCCACGAAAAGACAGTGAGTAGTATTTTGTTAGCAGTGGTTGTATGCACGTGGCCATGTGAGTGTATTTCAAGAGAAAAAGAGAACTGACTTTCCCCTTTCTTGGCCTTACTAGGGCATTTCGAGGCAGTATACATTTTAGAGTAAGTTTATTAAAATAAATCTCTTACTACTACTGTATATCTTCGACGAATAGCATAGCAGATTCATACCTGCATTCATTATCGGTTGATTTGCATTGCTATACGTTGTTTTTCTGAAACCTGTTTAGTTTTTACTCGTATTTCAGTTCAACGTACCTTCCCCCAATCGTTCGCTCCAATTTTCTATTACGCACTCCAAGTTTATATGTGAATCTACTTGCCGGATACACCGTTTATTGTAGCTACTGCCACAAAACCTACTGATCAATGGCGTCAAATTTGGTCCTAAAGTGAAGAGGTACAACCTTAGTTGAGTGTCAGTAATTATCATTGTATTCAAAAACCCGACAAACGATGAACATTTAATGTACAGATCACATCCAGGTCTGAAACTAGCATGGTTTTACCGCGTTTATTACTTACGAGCTCCAACCAAGCGTCGGTTGACTGTGAATAGTGATATTTTAAACACAATATTACTCTGAAAGATTTCTCCATGGTTTTCACAAAATAATTTCCAACCGGTTCTTTCAGCCAATCTTATGGAATTACATTTAGCTCCCATATTCTTGCCTTTTGTCTCTCTTCAAATTAACTAGCTAATTTTTGGTTTTCAATCATGCTTACTGTCAAACTGTTTGAACTATAGTTCACAATCGTTGTACATAGCCTATTATAATGTGGTGTATACTTTTAAAACCTTTCAACAACTACACCTATCATTTTGCTTAAAGTACTTAGGTTTATCAAGTAGAATAGGGACAGTAGTAGGTCATTAGTAAGGTCTGAGCCAAAACCACATCACTTCATCAAGTCGTCAATTGTTACCCTTAGATATATAATAAATCAAGTGTAAGTCAGACTATTTCGGAAAAAGACGACACTCTCATCTGCTCCCAGTCCAGACGTTTAGAACGATGGGCGGAACATTTTAAGGAGCAGTTCAGTTGGTCTTCAGCTACTCTACAACTACCCTCTATTCCCAGACAGTATGAATGGAACATTGAAGTAGGTCCCCCAACTCTAGCTGAAGTTCAAAAGGCTATAGCTAATCTGAAACGAGGAAGGGCAGCTGGTCCAGACGGATTGGCCCCAGAGGTCTTTAAGGATGGTCTAGTTTTGGCGATTAGGTTGACTAATATTTTAGCTAAAATCTGGGAGTTAGACGTTATCCCATCTAACTGGTCACAATCACTTATCGTCCCAATATTTAAGAAAGGGTCAAAATCATCCTGTGACAACCACAGAGGGATTAGTTTAACCAACATAATATCTAAAATACTAGCTTCGATAATTTTCGGACGCCTAACTAAGACTCGTGAGCTGCAAACACGTGAAAATCAGGCTGGCTTCAGACCTGGTCGTGGCTGCATCGACCACATATTCACCATTCGTCAGGTTCTAGAACACAGGCATACTTATCGGCGTCCGACAATAGTGGTCTTCCTTGACTTAAAAGCAGCGTTTGACTCTGTTGACCGAGAGGTTCTGTGGCAGTGTCTGTCATTGAAAGGCGTACCTCAGAAGTACATAAACCTTGTGAAAGCTCTTTACTCGAACACTAATAGTCGAGTGAGAGCTTATGGCGAACTGTCATCTGCTTTCGCAACCTCAAGTGGCGTCCGCCAAGGCTGTCCACTTTCTCCATTTTTGTTCAACTTCATCATAGGTCTACTGATGGAAATAACGCTCTCATCGACTGAATTCTCAGGTATTGATCTACCAGGAGGTCCACTTATTGACTTAGAATACGCAGATGACATAGTCCTGTTTGGTGAAGACGCTGATGAAATGCAGAGTCTTTTGGTAGCACTGAGCAACAATGCCAGAATGTTTGGGATGCGCTTCTCTCCCTCTAAATGCAAGTTGTTGCTTCAGGACTGGTCTGCATCAACACCTGAACTAAGGATAGGGGGTGAAGTAGTCGAACTCGTCGACAACTTCACTTATCTTGGAAGTCTGATCAGCCCTAATGGGTTGGTGTCTGACGAAATCTCATCACGGATTCGAAAAGCTCGTTTGGCCTTTGCCAACTTACGTCATCTATGGCGAAGGCGAGATATCCGTCTATCAATTAAGGGACGAGTATACTGCGCGGCAGTTCGTTCCGTTCTACTATACGGCTGCGAAACTTGGCCTTTAAGAGTAGAAGATATTCGTAAGTTACTAGTATTTGACCACAGGTGCCTTAGAAATATTGCGGGTATCTGCTGGGATCACCGGGTAAGTAATAGTGAGGTTAGACGCAGGGTATTAGGAAATGATGGTAAACCAGTTGATGAGGTTATGAACTTTCATCGACTGAGATGGTTGGGCCACGTGCTGCGTATGCCTGAACACCGATTACCGCGACGCGCAATGGTAACCGGTGTTAGGGATGACTGGAAGAAAGTTAGGGGCGGCCAAACCAAAACGTGGCATCAGTGCTTGAAGTCACTAACTTCTGGTCTGAGCCATGTTGGTAGATGCAGACTACCTGGTTGGGGTCCGCGTGACTATCGTAACCAATGGTTGGAGACTCTTGGTGACATGGCTCAGAATCGATCACAATGGCGTCGGTGTATTCACTCTCTGTCTTCCTTTAAACTAAGAGATTAAAATCACTTCAAATCTTTCTTTCTAGGAACTAATTCTATCTTCCTGTACTATCTCCTTATACACACTCTTTCTTCTATATATTACCACCACTGAATTAACTACTTCTATGAATCCGGTGTTCATCTTGTTGTGCTAATGCGGTATGGCAACTTGGACCGATGCATATACGTGCCTGGTCCTACGTTGCAGCTGACTGACTGACTGATATATATGTGTAGACTTCCTGCCAAAGGTAGGTTCGTATGACCATCGTAATTGTCGTCTGAAAAACGGGTTGCATGGTTCAAAAACGATCATAGTGCCACGAATGTGTTTTCTTCCAAATCGGTAGCTCTAATATTATCTCACACTTTTTATTCCTTCTTTTCGAACTACATGCTTTATGTCTGCTTACCCTCAATAATATTACCATCGGTTCAGTTTCTTTGTTAGAATTCACACTAGTTTGGTATGGTAAGCTAGGCTAGTGCATATTTGTTCATAGGTCCTTCGCTCTCGATAACCAACTACTTCAGCGGGTAATACGTACTAGTGCAGAAGTAGGTTGTAAGGAAGTTGGGGCAATTAAACAAAGAGGTATCACCAGTCCACTAAGTCCTTGACTATTGGTCTGCGCCATGTAGGTAGATACAGACTACCTTGTTAAGGTCCACGTAACATATGTTATCATTGCTCATATATGTAGAATAATATAAAATATACTTGTACGAAGACAATGAGAAATTTATTTTGTTTAAGTTTTCCCTTCTTACAACAGTACTGAAGTAGAGATTTAACAAGATTTCGAAAAAAAGTAAACTGAACAAGTAAAGTAATTTGGATAAAACAAACTATCAACAGGCGTAGTAATGTGACGTTTTAACTGGTTTCAATTTATTCTATCTATCTTTTTCTGGTTTTTTTTAGACTATTGCCAACAATCAGTAGCTTCACAAGTTTGTTGGTCATACCCTAGTCTGATCAATCTTAGTTTTTTCCTGACTGTCCATTTACACTAAATAAATAATTCGGTTGTACAGTCAATTTTTTTTGTTAAGTTTGCCTAACATATACACTTGCCTTCTTTTTCTCCTTCAACTTTTTTGATCAACCAGCGTCATGTTCGTCATGTGTGCAATGATAATCAAGGTGGTACACCACTATTCAGCCTATATGATCATCTATCACCAGTGGTAACAGTACGAAAAAACTTCGACAGTTTATTTATTCCACCAGATCATCCAAGTCGATTGCGTACAGATACATATTATTTGAATGAAACAACTGTATTACGCAGTCATACATCAGCGCATCAATTAGATTTAATCAATTCCGGTTTAAATGCTTTTCTTGTTGTTGGTGACGTTTATAGACGTGACGATATTGATTCACTGCATTATCCTGTCTTTCATCAGTTAGAAGGTGTTCGACTGTTTACATCGGATGAAGTAAGGGTTTTTCCTCAATGACTTTATTTTGTGACATCGCATGAAATTAGTTAATTGTTAGTGTAACTAGCTTTCAGTCACACTTTTGACATGAAGGTTAATGACACTCGTTGGCCACCTTAAGTAGGTGTGGTGAGGTTTTAATCCGGAACCTAATAGTCGAAAGTCGTTTGTTTTAACAATTAAGCTACCCCACTACTCAGTATTTGTCACTGATTAATATTTCAACTAGTCAAAGCCTCTTAATTCAATCTAACCCATTTTTTAATGATAAAATGACAATAAAGGCTTCTCAACTATAAACTATCCAGCTCAGGAAATATAAGATTACCAAAATCTTCTCCTTGGTAAAACTTAATGATATGTTCATGATCTAACTTGCTGTTTCTTAAGTCTAACTAAAGCACGGTGAACGAAATTATTCCTATTCTCTTTTCACGTGACCCACTACCCAGAGTGAGAATTCCAGTTGCTGTACAAAGTTTTGTCAGCCAAGACCCATTAAGATTTCGCTCAGTGTATTTCTTACAAACTATTTCACCATCATAGAACAAAAGAATCTTGATTAGTGGTGAAATTCATGAAAAGTATTCCGTTAGCTGGGATAATTCAAATCCTTGTTAATAATGATGTAAATATCATACTTGTTGAACAAATAGGTAGTTATCTGTACTCAATAGGTCAGTGCGTATCAAATAAAAAGTACCGGATTCGAATCAGAGTATAAACATCAATACCGGCGGTACAGGTAAATCCAGGTAATGAGTCCCAAGTAGGATGAAATGTACGTTATATATCCAACCCACTTATTCTATAAAACATTAATAAAATAACTTGATCAAAGCGACCCTCACATGATGCCTATAGTTCACGAAAGACCGATCAAAATGTAAACTTGAATATTAACAATGAGACAATTCACATTCTTACAAATAATAACGTATTACATTATAGTTAAGTAGATAGTTGCATTCATTCATACTATAGTAAACGAAGACTTAGTGGGGAAAATAATTTATTGTTTAGTGTAGAATTACAGTGCTCTCGTAAAATATGGAAACCATACACTAAATACATTATTTGCACATCTTCCTTCAGCTGTCTTGCACGTGCTTCATGATTCTTATTACAATTGTTCTCCAGTCCCCTTCCTGTTCTCTTCAATTTAATCTTCTGCTGGTAGGCATTTTATTTCCGATTGGTTTCTGCATACTACTTATATACGTCGGCATAAGTAGCATACACCACAATACCATCTTCATCGTCTTTATGTCTTTGCATCATTTTGCCATGTTTACTCAAATCATATGTTACTAATTAAATTAGATGATGGATATCATGAATCAATCAATGTTAGACCGCCGCTGAAAAACTGGAAGCACTGGACGGCCATTTCATCCTAGTATGGAACTCCTCAGCAATGACATAGTTCAGTAGCTGTTAGACTGTTATTCTATACTGTTAAGACAGGCAGTTTTTATCACTAAAGATTTTCAATCATTAACTGTCGTTATCCTGGTTTGGAACTCTATTTAATTAGTCAACCCACAAAATGAAGAGATAAACTTGATTTCAGCATCTTTTCAGTTATCAAGTTGTGTTTACTTTTCACCGTACCATTTGGACAAGCGTTCCAATCTCAATCAATATTGACTAAGATTAAGAGTAACTATATAATGTTAAGGAACTTCCTGCGTTTGATCATCGTTGTCTCCGAAGGGTTGTTGACATTCAATAGCAACCCCATGTTAGTAAAACGAAGTTTCGGTAACGTGTGTTCGATCACAATGACGATTATTAAATTGGTGTCATTATGTCAAAACATTGACTTCGGCGGCTTGAACATGTACTACGAATGTTGTCCGAGTGAATCTCATATCGTACATTATTTGTTGAGGCTGGAAGTAGTTTTAAAAAATGAAATGGGCAGTTTATGATGTAGTGACGGAGTGTGAAAGAAAGACGTACTAGATTGCCAAGTCTATCATTGACTACTCTCTGGCTAGGGTCCCAGAGATGATGCGACATATTGTCTTGGGACGTTATCAGTCGTTGCTCAAAATGGAAGCCGGTGGTGATAGTGTTATGATTTTCTCTTCATAAAAGTTGCAGGAACTTCTTTCATCTTCAGAATTCATTTTAGATGTATTTTCCCAGCTAACCTATTATGTTTTACTCTCACTTATTCTTATTTGTTTGTCGTTTTTTACGATACTCACCCTCCTTCCTTTTTATAACTCTTCACAATCTCATTTTCCTGTTACGTAGCTCATATTTATTTTGGTGTCCACTAGTATTAATATGTATATGTTCAAATATAAATAAAAGATCAGTTGATTGAGAGTTCTCATATTTATGATAAAGTGAAAGGTTGTATGATCTTAAAGTGATTAGATCACTCGAATTTCAAACACTTCATTGCGAATGTGAGCCCCCTTTCATCATCTTTAGTTTCAGTTGCTAGATAGTATTTGTTAGCCCAAGTAACTACTGGATGGACTAGCGGTTTGACGGTTAGATTATTCAGGTGTCAATCTCTGAATTGCTGGTTCAAAGCTTTCTTCGTCCATCTACTTTAACTTTGTGCAATCGAGTACACAAAGCTGTACTTGGTTTATGACTTACATGAAATAATTTACAGTCGAAAATCAAAGTCGTTTGTTTCTCATATAATTATTTATTGAAATCGATTCAGTAGTTAGTTTTTACATCTTAACGGTAAAAAATTTTTGATTAGTAATTCGAAATCATATATATTATATAGTTATATTATTCCTTTTTGTAGTTATTTAGAAATGCTACTGATCCTTTTCAATGTTTTCGGCTGCTTGAAGATATCCCATCGTCTTCACCATATAGTGAACCAGATATTCATCCATTCAAAGTTTTTCCTTCATATATGCTTCCACCTGACAGACAAATTAGTCACACAACAGAGACTAAAATGTTACTAGAATTTGAATTAAAAACCCTCCTACAGGAAATGGCTAAATTTTTGTTTGGTCCAGGTAGTACTATAATTTTATCTACTAACTATTTGTATTTTAGTGTTTGATGCTAACAAATTTGACTGTTTATGAGTTTATTTCCCACTTTGTATTACTTCTCATCCATTATTAAAGGATACATATGAAGGGGATAGGTCAAGTGGACCACCCAGTTTTTCTATCAATAGCTACTGAGAATACTGTTCTGATTCAAAATCTCACGTCTCCTATGAATTGCCAGCCGACACAGAAAGCACATTTGACTCTCGCCAAACTAAAGCACTTTTGAGGCAAGTTCCCATCAGAGAGGGAAAGTATACTGGGCAACAGTCATTTCTGTACTGACGTTTGATCGTAAAACTTGGTCACACTTGTCTTTGAGGCATTACCTACATATGATGGAACCACATAGTTATTAGGTTTGAAGTACTAGACAAAACTGATTGTAAATCATTGCTTACGACTGTAAGTCTTTATTGACTGAGATTGCTTAGACATATGTTTTTCATGCCTAACTATCCTTTGCCGTAACTCAATACTGTCTAGCATAGGACTATTCTATGATAAAGATAAGGCCAACCAAATTAAAACATGACATCAGTTTATGAAATTATTGGTCACTGGTGTCAGCTGTATGGTAGAGACTTAGACTTCCTAGTTAAGACATGCGCCATATTTGTAATGCATTGCTCAAGGTATTGAAAGAAATGGATCAAAATTCGCTACATTTACATTCACTCTCTGTCCTTATTTGATTCTTGAGGTTGTTACCATCCCCATTCCTTCCGTTATACTTGACTTTAAAACGCCACAGATTCTTTCTAGGTCCTTCGTCGTCCACAATCTTTTTCTGAGAAGATTTCATGGTTTAGCACTGGAATTAAAAGTAGTTGAGGAAAATGAAAGTGCTTTATTTTTAAGCTAGATGTTGTTCCGATCTGGTTTCATTTATAAGAAAGCAACACCTCCGTATATACTGGTTATTCATGAGAGCGATATTCTACTCTTATCTCTCTCCAATAAAGTTAACAATACATTTTGTTGCTTTTGGTTTTTATCGTTATCCAACCCACCTGCTTGACATGTTAGGTCTTTAAGAAACAAATTTCTTTGCCAGTATATCTTTATTGAGTTGTCCCAATATACAAGCCCCATCCAGTGCGTCAACAAATTGTGAATCTTCTACTTGGTAATATATAATGGCGGTGATCATAATCTCTTGATCGTCAGATCGCATTCTATGAAGCGATTGTTAATTTGTTCGTATGTTAATCTTTATGCTTTTTCGTTCAGTGAAATGCTCCATATAGTAATGTTCATTACTTATGAGTTTTCATCATAACATAGATTTATGAGCACTTCTTCTCTTCCCCAGTTTCAGTAGTTTCTTATTGGTCTTGCTTCATTATTAATCACAGACATACAACTACGTTGGGTTAGTGCTTACTTCCCATTTACTCACCCATCGTGGGAATTAGAAATCAAAACAAAATCTGGCTACTCTAACTATGATGACAATTCTGATAGTGAAAAACCTGAAGAATGGACTGAAATGTTGGGATGTGGTATAATGCGACAAGAATTACTAGAACGTTGTAAGTGTTTGTTCATTAAATTACTGGCTCATAGTATTTTTTTATCAGCTGTTATATTCTTTGAGCTAGTTGTTGTTCTGGACACAAAATCATAACTGCCCACTTCATATAGAAGTGAGCTTTTCAGTAATTCAGTTCACTCTGATAACCTTGTTTGTGATTGATAGTTTCCATAGGTTTTTGCTTTTTCGTTTGTTTTTGTAGTTATGCTGATTATCTTTTTCGGTTGACCTCCGAACACATAGTTAGTTGACCTTTCTCATCTGGTATGATAGATCAACTCAGGCCACCAAAATGAACCGGTTTAACACTTGTGGGATAATTAGAAAGCTCACTTTACGTAATGTAGGCTCTGTAAACATCGACCAGATTGACAATGCAAGCTCTTTAATTATACCGTCTGGCGTAGGAGACATAATACTACTGAGAGCATACATCTCAGCAGCAAATCATCTCCATTATTTGAATTAAAAGATACTATGTTAACTCTATGTAACTTGTATCTATTGTATGGAATTTTATAGGAAAGTTGTTGTAATTCAAAATATGACTTGTGAATGCTACCAAACGGTTCTAATTTAAGCCAAGTATTATTATTTTTATAAGGTCTCTCTATAAAGTCTCATTATTCACAATTTACAGTTACAGCGTTGGAACAATGTATTGGTCTAAACACTAGTGTAAACTCAACTAAAAATATCCTTTTTAGAAAATAATGATTTTTATTACATCAATAATCCAGCCCAGCTTAATACTTCATTATGTTCTTCTCTGTTACTCACTTAAAAATGTAAAGATCGGAAAATAAACTATAAATTATACTGACCTAATTGGATAGCAGTTTAACCATTATTAAAACATTCAATTAATCAGAAATGAAAGATTAGTTTTTTGTATGAAGCTTTTTATTGTCTGTTTACAAAAAACAATATTGCTTTATAACCGAACTGGATAATTCACTTGATATTGTTTTATTTGAATCTCCTCATTGATGTTTAGGACTGAAATTGTTTTTAAATTGATCTCATATAAGATACAGGACAAAATGACATTAAATTCTAAGTGAATCAACGAAACAAAAGTAAATATCATCATGGAGAGTGGCAAATTTTAGCGCTCGCAGCTAAGAAATCAATTTAAACTTAACCTCATTGCACAGGCAAGTTGTTATCAGTACTCAATAGCTAAGTGGATAACTCGATAGCGTTTGAAGCGAACGGGACTTTGTTCGAATCCCAGAGTGAACGCTAACTTTGCGATGCAGGTACATCCAGTTGACGAGTCCCCAATAGGACGAAACGCGCGTCCTGGATTTCACTGCTAGCTACTACCCATCATTGCTTAGAATGCTTGTGAATTAAGGCAATATCAAGGCAATACATACAGTATGCACATATGTCAATAAGAGACTGATCAATTTCAGTCCTAAACATCAATGGGAAGATTCAGGTAAACAATACCAATTGAATTTAAACTCAGCACAATTTAAGGTTTTTTACAACCGATTCATTTCTATGTATTTTGTGCATACTTTATCTGTAAGAAAGAAATAAATGACACTAAGGGATCACAAACAACTGATTATTGTAGAAAAGTAACCCACTTGATCCAATTTATAAAGGTTTTTAAATTATCTCGTTGTTGACATTTTGACTGAATTTTAACTGGTCTTTATTAGAGTACGTTCATCCTGTGCTGATTGCCTCGATATAGCCAGTATGACACAAGTTTATACTAGAATAGATGGAGCTTGGCTAATAATGGAATCCAGGATGTTCATTTTCTCCTATTTGGGTCTTTTAGCCGGACTTACATGCATCTCAGAGTTGATATCCATTCGGGATTCGAACCCAGTATCTTTTGGTTCAAACGGCCGCGCTTTATTCCCTTGGCTACTCACCCATGCAATGAATATGAATTTCAGTTTAATTTACAATGGGATGAAACACACTTTCTAAATTCCACTACTAGCCACGTCGCATCTGTTCTAAATATCAGATAACCCACTTATGACACGAAATACTGGTGTCAAATACTACATTTTTATTGTTTCCTGTTTGACAGTTTGTTGATCTTTGTTTGTCTTTTATTTCTTACTCAAAAGCTGGAATACCTAATAAAGTTGGTTATGCTTTTGGTCTTGGTTTAGAACGTTGGGCTATGCAATTATACGAAATACCAGATATTCGATTATTTTGGTCAAAAGATGAAGGGTTTTTGAATCAGTTTATAACTGATGATATTCATGCACCAATCAAATATAAGGTAGATAGTCGCTTTTCTAAAGTTTTTAATGTAGTTATTTGGCTTATTAAGTTTAATTATTGACCAGTTTTGTAGAGACTAATTTAATTGGTAAATGAAATTTGTCATTGATTATGAACCTAGATTCATGAGGGACTAAAAACAATTGAGTTATCATAACTGTTTCTTCTGGACACATCTAATGACATGTGTTTAAATATAATTCGTATGCGATTAGCTTTAAAATCTAGAACACATGTTTCGTACTATTCGAGACTCATCTACTGGATGTACCTACATCTCTTTATTGGTATTTACAATGACACTTGAACCTAAATGGGATGAAATTCGCTCCTTGTATTCAACTTCTAGATGCATATCAAATATACTGAAGTTTGTGACAGAACACTATTTGAAACCAAACCACTTAAGATATATATATATATATATATATATCAATTATAATCCTAAATACCAATGACATGAAGTTACAAATCCTTACTAATGACATGTGTGTTTTGATTGCGTTTTTTTCTCTTCATAGTCTTCAAATCACTGAGTAGAAGTAGCAATTCAAGACTTAATCTTAAGAACTATTTACTGTGTGTATAGTTTTGTTTATCTCATACTACTACAAAGTGGTTTTTATTGTAGTAGAGTATTAAAAAAGTTAAAACTATTTTACAGACTATTATTATTCATACTTTTGTCATATAATTATATAGAGATAACTGGATTATTGTGTTTCTGTATTTCCTGTAATATGATCTTCCATCGGATCAATTAACTATTTTTGTATAGTTCTCTTATTATCGCCAATTAATTAATTTTTTTTAACCCCGTTCTCTACCTCTGATGGCATGATTTTTTGTGTAAAGTATAATTCATGTATACAAACTAATGATTGTTTAAAATAAAAATAATACGTGCCTGAAATACAGTAATAGGAGTTTATTTGTTGTATTCTCTTATCTCAACTCGAAATTGAAGATTGAAGAAGGAGTGTGTATCTCCAGGCCATTAGATGTTAAGATTATTTTGATCTCAAGTCAAGATTAATCCCACCACTCGACAAGTATCATTAATCAAACTTTAGGATACCAAGCTTGCTTCATTAAAATTGGTTCTTTAGGCTATTTGTTGTTATATGATGAGTATCATTGTAATGATACTTCCAAAATTCATTCGGTTATTTTTTCGATCGGATTATATAAAGTTTAGCCTGTTAATAATAGTAAGTGAAGTATGACAAGTAACAGTATTGTTTACTTTAAAAGTTGTAATAGTCTATAGTTGAAAGTTATACTGAATAGAAATCGACCTAAAATAGCAACATGCATAAAATATTGTAGGCTTTGTTCACCAAAATCAAAAAAGCCAAAAACCGATCGTATAAGAGAAGCTCAATCGTTTTCGCTCCTAAATATGTAACATCATTGGACGTACTGAACCCCAATAACAAGACACAACGTATACTATTATTCGAATATTAAGCGAATGTTTACATCAACTATCGGATACATGTTGTACAATCGACGATGAAGAAATGAGATTTATGCTTCAACATCAACTTCAAAGATAATTCACATTAGATGCATCACAATTCACTGTGTTTATCATTTAAAAATATTTTTGTATATTAGTAATATTTTTCATGAGGAGACTAATTATCTGACTAAAAATTTACGGGACAAAGTATCTTTGAAAATAAAAAAATATTCTGGTGATCAGTGGTTTATTTTTTATGATCTATTTTGCATTTTGACCACTGAATCTTAGATTCCAATCCAGTTCACATTCATTGGTTCAGGTAGTAAGTACTTGAGTGGTAGTAATAATATTGTTAACTATCATTCAAAAATTGTATCCTGAATCTGACATATACAAACTTTTGCTCAATTTATGCGTTGATTTTTCAACTTCTGTAAAATATGAATACGATTTTGACCTCTTGGTATGGAGAAAAAGTTTCATATTTATGACGGAAAAATAAAGTTTTTCAGTACTTATTGTTAATGTGTCATTTTTTGTTTGTTCTTTTATGTTATATCAGCCAGTCAGTATATTTCCTCCATGTGTATTAGATCTTTCATTTTGGATAAACAACTCTGAATCAATATCATCTTCATCGTTGTCTTCCAATCCTGATGGATTAGATAGAATTAAGATAGTTGAACGGGATATTTTCGATATTGTACGTTCCGAAGCCGGTGATCTCATAGAACAGGTAAAGATGAATCATTTTTCCTACAAATCACTTAAACGGTTTCACAAATAAAAATTACAGCTTTGGCTATACAGATTAAACCCATATCAACAACATACCTAGCCCACTAGTTAAATCTGTCGTAGAATGTATACTACTGACATTGTAAATGAGTAGCTAGATTCCTAATTATTAATATTTCATCAGAATTATTTTTTTATTTTCCGCTTACATGTAGATTCGTTTGGTCGATTCATACAATGATCCTAAAACCGGACAACAAAGTCTTTGCTATCGTTTTATCTATCGAGATCAACATAAAACTTTGACAATGGATGACGTTCGACCATTACATGAGAATATTGGTCAAGTTTTAGCTGAAAAATTAAATCTTTCCATTCGATGATAATTTTTTGCTAAATATCAAATCGTTATTAGCATGAGCATCATTTCCTACCTGATATTTTTATGTACATATTCTTCATCTTGTTACATGCATATTTATATCGTTTGTTCTACCATAAAATTAACTTTTCGAATGATAGATTTTGTTTTTTTTCACTATTTTTTTCTTTGTCGAAGAAAAAAATAATTAAATTTATTGATCACCGATTGACCAATGTTGTTTTCACTCTTAGTGCTGATGGATTTCTTTTAATCACGTTGCAACACGGCTACTAGTGCAAGTAACTTGACATCAGAAGCAATATGTTTTCATCAGTGTCGATATCTCAGTCCCACAGAAGATCAGTTTCACCTTGATAAGCTCACTGATAACGTCTCATTATGAAATAAAATGATACGAGTTCGAATTGTACAGAAGACATATAATCCCCCTTCGTTTCCGACACATTTTAACTCACAAGAAGCCTAAACCTGAATTTTCTTACTGATTGCCTCCAACCAAGACTAGTCGAATTTCAGTCAATGCATAATCTAAACCATGTCAAATTAGAATATAGCTGACATAGTGCACATGTGAGTGGCTATCTCAACTCATTAGTTGAGTAAGTAACACTTTAGGCGTCTGAAGTAAAGGGTACAAGGTTCGAGTTCGAGTGTGGACATAAGCACTGGGATTTGGAAGCCACTATCCAGCTGACGAGTCTTGATTAGGAGGAAATCCACATCCTGGATCCTAATGTTGGTTACATTTCATCTGTTATATATCAATCAGAAGAAATGATTCGACCATAAATTCCTAGGAAGGTGTTAAAATGCAGAGATTTTAGAGCAAGTACATTTGCGTAAATTTCTGACTTCATATTTTCCACATCATATTCAACATTGTAGTTTATGAATAAACTTTTTAACGTACGGTTTATTATTAGCTTAACCACGTGTCATGAGTTCGATAGTTCTATCACTTATGAAGTTACATGATCCCAATAAAATTGAAATAGTCAAAATTGGTCTATTTAATTCGAATTGTATTACCTAGAGGTAACGAATTTGTCATGAGGTTTGAAAGCCTTAAGCGTTGGACTTAAGATATATGAAACCAAAGCTTTTCAGTATTGGCGTTTGGATAGAACCGTACAGCCTTCAAATCCTAGTACGAACATCCGTATGGTACTTTCCCAGAATGTGTTTAATGTTCATATAAAATTGAACTATTAACCTGTTGGTATGAAACTGTGGTTTAATAGTTAAGAAATATCGATTTTCAACCAATATGTCGTCTCAAAGCCCATTCCACCGACTCCAGTCTAGATAATCATGCTATATCATTGGCTTTTACACTAAATTTGTAACTCAAAGTTGAGTACACAAAGTATATTTGGTGGATAACATGTAACTTTTCATATATTATCATAATAAATACCTTGAAACATATTGAATCTTATCGGGAAATAAATGAGATACTTATTTGTGAGACATTGGACTTGTTAGTTATTTTGTCAATTTGTCCGTGTTTATTATTAAAACAATAATTAATTTATAAATATCCATTTCTATTTGAAGCTCATTTCTTACTGTATTATTTTCAGTTAAACAAAGCAAATAAATTATTAACAGGTACATCTGGTTGACGAGTGTTAAAGAGGACGAAACACGCGTCTTAGATTCTCTTACTAGCTATCATTCAACTTTGTTTAAATGCCTGTGAATTAGAGGCAATATCGAGGTAGTCTTCACAGAGTGTACTGATCAATTATTATTCATAATATTAACGGGAAAAATTTAATAACCAATATAAAAGAATGAAATAAATTATATCTTTAAGAGATTTGTTTTATCTTGTTTACGATTTGTTTATTTAAAGACATAAACATTGGTACAAGGAGGCACCAAATATATATGCGCCCGATAAATCATTTGATTTGTGTGAGGGCTGGAATACTTCCCGGACGCCCTAACCGAAGCAGGTGGTTTTTTCTTTAGGATACCATACCCATATGTGGATCTACATACAAGTATTGATACTCATAGTCAGATTATAAATCACCGTCGATTGTTTCAAAAACATAAACGCATTATTTAGTAAGGTAATAAGTTCTATTAAGCACTAATATATAACATTATATCATCATTTCCTTTGAGCAATAACTAGTCCTTAGTAAGAACCACGTCATTTATAATTATTTACTGACTAACAGTACTTATTAACATACAGTGTTCTAATTTTTGAATAATCAGGAAAGTAATCATTTTTGATTATTTCAGATCATAAAATGAATATCATAATAATCATGATTATTTTACAAAATAGATTATATTAACATAACATTTCTTTCACTAATAATTGATTTCGTAATTCAATGTTACAAAGACTATTGTTTCTGTGTTAACTATAAATTAAGCGCATAAACATAGATCAAGATAGTTAATTATAGAGTTTTAAAAATATTCTCAACATAAAACTAACCTTAATAAATTTATATCAATCAAAGAATCAATGTAATTTATGAAACATTAAATAATTGCTTTGTTATACTCTAGAACTTGGTATTCTACATTCACTATTCTACCTTAGATAGACTGAACTCAGAGATTACATGTCTGGTAACAATCATGATATTTTGAAATGATTAAATTAGAAATTCATTAGAATTCTGAGTAGTTTCTTATTAAGTTGTTTATGAATTATATTTTAAACTTTTCCGACAAGCCACTGCACTGATCATGATACAATAGATCATATAGTAATATATATTTCAAACTAGTAAACACTTGTAATACATCAAAGTCAAGAAAAAATAGTGATTTTCTCGATTGGTGGAACAATCATAGATTGAAAGAAGTTAGATATTAAGATGGTTGGATGCCGACTGAGTGGTCCAGAGGTTAAGCGACTTAGAGTACGTTTTCAGAGCTCGGGATGGTGATTAAACATTGCTAAAGAGTCTTATATTAGGACGAAGTGAGCGTCCAGTGCTCTCAAATCTTAATGGTGATCTAACATTGATTGGTTCATGATTTCAATGCAAAGTAATAATTAGTTGATTCACAGTTGGAGATCAAATACACTGTGAAAAAGTCAACAACAAATATAATAACTTATGAGTTTATTTGTTTCCAATGCATTTTTTTTTATTTCAAAGAAAATTCATTATGTCTTGGTGTTCTTTAAAGAGAGAGAGAACAACAACAGATTTATTGATTGTCGTTTATTATTTTGTCGGTTTTCGCATTGTTGTTATCGTTACATTATTATTTTAAAAAATTAATTTTCATTTTGGTTTTGTTTTCCAATCAGATAATCACATAAATAGTCTCCACATGGTAATCATAAATTTCATTGCATAATCAGTGTTTGAGTGTCCACATTATAAACTATGATCTTTATTTATTCCGGTCAATCAACATATGTAAATGAAATATTTATTTTCATAGTTTAAATCACACACTGATTTTAACTAGACCACTATTGAAAACATGGGAGTAGTGAACGGCTATTTTGTTCAAGTATGGAACGAGACTCTCTGCAAATTATCAAATCATAATTAATTTAGTTACTGAGAGATTTATTAATACATAGATTGTTAATTATAACTTCATTTATATATTTTTTGTATGAAAGAGTTGAAGTAAATAATTTTTTTGAGGGTGAAGGGTTGGTAACAAGCTAAGTCTTATCGAAAACCCCACATTGGGTGATTAAACGTGAACAAATGTTTGCGTAAAATTTGTATTGGTCACATGAATCAAGCAAATAATGTCTGAGACTACAATTGATCAGTTGTTTGTTTTGGCTTATGTGAATCGTATGAGAATTTCCTCGATATTACCATTAAGTTATAAGTATTATAGACAGAGATAAATGAATGCTAGCAATGAAATCCAGGATGCACTTTTCATCCTATTTAAGACTCGTCAACTGGTGATCTAGTCATCTACAACTTAAGAGTTTAAAATGGAAGGAAACATGCATCTTGCATTCCACTGCTAACCACCATCTATCTATGCTCAGTATGTATATAAATGTTAGGAAACGCGTCAATTTTGAAACGATTTCGTTTATTAAGCTTGCAACGATTTTAATCTTTTTTTTTTAATGAACTATGTGAAACATGAAGATCATTGAATTGATGTTCAGTCAAATTTTTCACCTTGACAAAAGTATGTATGTACTTATAATCTGTAACGGGATAAAATGTCAATAGTGATTTAGTTAAGCATTGATTATAATCAATAAGAATCCGTTTTTATATTATGAATTCGCTATAATTTTATAAATGCGGAAAATTGAATTTCAATTCAATAGTGCTGTGGTATCAAACTAACAGGAAAGTCTGAAGATTCAGTATATTTATACCGTGTCTGGTTATGGATGTTAGTTGACGAGCTAAGATTAACAAAAAGACAAACAGAATGAAGGAATATTTCTTTTCAATTAATTTCTCATCATGGATCTCTATCTCTCTTCGTATATATAAGAAAATTTATAACAATAAAACGGTATTAGCTAAGCAGTAGTATTGAGTGATTATGAAAATAATGTAAAGTGATTAATTGAGTTATTGAAAGAGGGAGCATAAAATGGTTATGCTAATAATAATTATTTGTAAAATTTGAAAACATGCAGAACAAGAACTGTCAGATTTCATAATATACAATCAATGAATTAGATTGATGGCCAGGTGCAATCGGACTTAACCTATCTCTCTCTTTCTCATACTCAAAGTGTTTAACTCTAATTCAGGCCTAGATTTAACTTCATTTAGTGTATCTGCTTTTACTTCATATATGGATTCTAGCAGATCATTATCATCATTCTCTTCCAGTACCAACCTGATTTAACATAATAATTATTAGTAGGAAAATAACATCATGTGATGAATTTTTTTAAAAAACAATCGTCTTCAAGCAAAATCTATTGTGTCACTAGAAGTTAAGTAAAGATAGTTTGGTGAAGAAAATTTTCCCTTTGACAAACTACATACTATATGTAAACTTTGACGGTAAATATGATGACATAATTCAAGGGAATGATATTATAGAAATGGATATTCTATTCGCTATTTTATTTAATAAACTTATTGACATATTGTGTTTCGTTCTAAATAGACTAATTACTAGTCAATCATCATTAACGTAGAGCTTGGTAGAGAGATATACATTAATCCTAATTGTTATTATCATATTAGCATGACGAGATGAATAAGAAAAACG